GCCCAGACTCTTCAACAGCAATATCCGATCGGCAATCTGCTCTTTAGTACCGATCAACTTGGTCTTGAAGCCGTCATTGTACTGCACCAAATCTTCTAGCTTGCTGTCCGCCCACATCCCCTTCTTGTTACCTGTGCTAGCACCAGCCTGCTTTACTGCTTCTCGAAACGCCTCAACGGCCTCCGTGTCGGCTTTCCCTTGGATCTCTTTCAGCACGCGGATAGCTTCTTCTTCCGTCTCACGGATGATGACAAAGCCGTTCACCGCAAACTTCACTTGGCCTTCACGCCCAGCTTTTCGCGCACGCTCTTTCACATCCTCAATCTGCTCGCGGAAGCCGTCCAGGTCGTTGCCGTTCATGAAGTACCAATCACTGACTTCAGCGCCATTGTTCCGAGCGTCGTCGCTGTTGCCGCCTTGGAAGATCTCCGGGTGCGGCTTCTGGAGTGGTTTGGGTGATAACTTGTAGTTCCGGAATTGATAGAAGTCGCCGCCAAAAGTGAAGCCCTCGTCACCAGCGGTCCAAATGCCCTTGAGTGCGCGGATGAACTCGTTGGAGCGTCGATAGCGTTCGGCATGCTCGAGCCACCATTGCCCGATACTCTGGAATTCACTCTTGTTCCAGCCTGAAACAATGTTTACCGCAATGCGCCCGTTGGTGTAGTTGTCGATACTTGCGATCTGCTTTGCTGCGACGGTCGGGTTCCAGGGTCCGGGAAGTATCGCAGCGATGAGCTTCATGCGCTCGGTGTTGTGCAACAACGCCTGAGACAATGATACACTTTCGTGCTGGTTGTCGGCTCCATACGACGCGGTGAAACGAATCTGGGTGAGCGCATACTCGAAGCCGTATGATTCGGCCGTCCGGGCGTATCGTACGTTGGATGCAAGGTCCCAACTGGTTCGTTGGGCTATCTTTGAGACAACGAGACCGCCTGAGACGTTCGGGACCCAGTAACTATTTTGTCGCAAGGTTAGGAGGTGCGGTAAACGGCTGTCCTTGGGAAACTGCTTACGCGAACAATAGGCGATCGGGATCTTGGTTCAAGTCCAGTTGCTTTGCGGGCGTGTAATCTTCCGCTGTCTTGTTCAGGTGTCCATTGGCGCCATTCGTCGTGCCATTCTCTGCTGCTGAGGAACAACTTATCAGCCCCACACGTTCTTGATAGCCGTAGTCTCCGCATAACCTCACCTGTCTTTTGTCTCTTGCGCGGCGTCATGCTTGTTTGGAGGTATACAATAGAACGTCAGTTTGAAGACACGAAGGTATGTGAGTTGAGTACCGGTACTATGCTGCCCCGCAACATGGACTTGGGGTTCGATTGCAGATCAGATATACGCATTATAAGCGTGGATTGCGTGATATGCAATCATCCGAGAGCGGGATTTGTGGGATTGCCGTAGATTAAACCCGGCACGTAGACTTGATGGTGTTCAGCTCTATTGCAGCCGACTTGCCGCCGATCTTGCCTAAGCCAGCTGGCCGACTTCTATATTGCAGCTCAACACATCGGCTTCGCGTATGACAAGCTGTGGTGTATGATCTTGCGACAACTTCACGAGTCCGGCATCCTCAATTGGCTGCTTACAAGCTTCGGCCTACTGGTCAATGGGGCAATCCAACCTTCCGAAGACGTGCTGTGCCGTAACTTGCAGCAAGATACTCAAGCACCGCATACCCCACACCAAGATCGACCAGGATAGCGAGATTCGACTACAACACTATGATATTGTCCCGACACGACCATGTGAACGCTACTGAGCACTGAAAGTAACGCCGAAGCACGTAATTTACTATCGCATGATCGCAATGGCAACGTACCGACACCGCCGTCGTCCCGCGTCGATATGGTCTCTCTCAATATGGGAGCTTATGACGATTCAGTACAAAAGCCTGTGGATCAAAGCCAGTCGTTTGTATGAAGGATTCCTTGCGTGCAGACAATCATGTCCAAATTCTCAACGACCGAATTGAACAGCAAAAGCAGCGCTGGCACGACCGATGTCGAAAAGCAACTCCCCCATGAGTCTCCAACCGTGCCAATCACAGCTCCAAAGACCTTGGGTGCTGGAGTTAGTTATGCTTCCAGTACGTCTTACCCAGGTGCTAACGTGTCAAGACGGCGCTTCCAATCGGAGTTTTTGCGACAACTTTGACCACGCTGTCGCTCAGTCTGATGGAATGGCGAGGAGTGACCACAAATAATGTCTTCGTCGCCAACTTCTTCTTTGCGGCGGCATTCGGCAAGTTACCGGAATGTACGATGTGTGTGTGCTTTGGCTGACTGGATACTAGGCCTGGTAGTCACTGCACAGTGGGAGCTGTCCGTCGGTAATGGTTTCGCGTATACTGTCTTCAGCGCTTTTGGTCTGTTCTACGCCGGCTTTGGTGCGATTTTGACCCCTGCCTTCGGAGTTGAGGCAGCATATGGAGGCGATCTGAAGCAATACAATAACGCTCTCGGGTTCTTCATGATCAGTGAGTTGCTCAGGACCGACGAGTGGTGAAAGCGCTACTAATCGTGTGACAGTGTGGACGGTCTTCGCCTTGGTGTTCCTCGTGGCCTCGTTACCGACAAACCTGGTCTACATCATCATCTTCTTTTGTGTCGAGCTGGGATTCTTGCTAGTGTCGGCGTCTTATTTTGCCACGGCAGATGGACACCCGACCTCGTCCGTCGCGCTCAAGAAAGGCGGTGGTGCGTTCTGTTTCTTGGCTGGATTGACCGGGTGGTATCTGACGTTCGCGTTGCTGCTCAAAGACTCCATCGTTGAGCTACCACTCGGCGACACTTCCCGGTTCTTCGCGAAGAGAAAGGCGGAATAATCTACAGGCAACACAAGGCTCGCATGCTGGTCACGGAAGGTGTCTCGGAGGTGCGCAGTCTGCTGGACATTGTGATGGGCCGTGAAAGTGCGGAGTTGGGGATGATGCGATTGAGGGGTTAGATGGCGAACGCGGTTCGCGTTCGGACGTGCGCACTGGTTGCAGACTAGTCTCGTTCTGGGTTAGCTCAAATGCGATGATGCAGGTGCGGTCCGCCGACGCGTCTCACTCTCCAACTTTCACGTTCACATGCTGTACCGACACTGCTTTGCGAAATCTACGCCCCCACGGTATCGGACTATTCCTAGCTACACCTGCCTATAGGCAGACAACTCAACATTCACCATGTCGGCGGTATATCCCTGTCTCTCCGGTCGTTCTCATCGCCATCGTAAACCTACTCAGGTGTTCATGCGCACCAATGCGAATGGCTCAAGAATGAACAAATAGCACGCAATACTCTGCGTGATTCTCATCATTCCGAGGGATGTTCTGCGGGGTTTAAATATAAGATCGTGATCGAGATCTCGAGATGTCATCATTCTATCCATTTACACGATGGCCATGACGAATGGTACTAACAGCGAGTCCGGAAATGCGCAGCAAGTCGACTTCAGAGACCCGGCTGTCTATGCTGAGTATGAGACGAAGTGGTCTTCTATTCCGGAAGACGAAGCAGGCTGGCTCCAGCGTGCTCAAGATGTAGCCGATGTTCTCGCCGTTGATGCCGTCGTGCGAGATCAAGAGAACAAGTCTCCACGTGCGGAAGTTGCACTACTGAAGCACTCTGGATTACTGAAGCTCCTTGGTCCGAAGCAGTATGGTGGCGGTGGTCAGCCTTGGAGCGTGGGCTACAAGGCGATTCGGAAGGTCGCCGAAGCAGACGGGTAAGGTCTTCCCCTCCCCGTACGCATATGTATACTAACTATCCTAGGTCAATCGGCATGCTCCTCGGCTACCACCTCCTCTGGTCAACCACAGCAAACATCGTTGGCTCACCCGAACAAGCCGATCGCTTCCAGAAGCTCATAATCTCGAACAACTACTTCATCGGCGGCGCGGTTAATCCCCGCGACAGCGACCTATCCATCAAGTCCGACGGCGACGGCCTCGTTTTCAACGGCTTCAAGTTCTTCAACACAGGCGGTGTTGTGTCTAATCTTACGGTTCTCGAGGGCGTATACGAAGGCACCGGGAATCACATCTTCGCCTTTGCCAAGACGGATCAACCCGGTATCCAATTTGGACATGATTGGAATAATATTGGTTTGCGCTTGACGGAGTCGGGCAGTGTGAAGATCTCCGATGTGCGTGTACCTTGGGCGGATGCACTGGGATGGAACGTCGAGAGGAAAGAACCAGACCCCCGCGCGCTACAGATACCGTTCACGACGCTGCTGCTCCCCACCATCCAGCTCGTCTTCAGCAACTTCTATCTCGGCATTGCGCTCGGCGCACAGCAGTATGCGGCAAGATACACAGTGAAGGGAACTCGAGCATGGCCATTCGGTGGCGATGTAAGCACATACACATCCTCCGAACCAGTACACAACATTAACGCATAATCAGAACAAGGAGAAAGCCACAGACGAATTCTACATCCTCGAACGCTACGGCAACTTCCATGCCCACCTCCGCGCCGCATCCGCCCTGGCAGACCGCGCAGGTCAAGAAGTCGATGCCATTTTGAACAAATACGGAGGCGAACTGGACAGTCGCGCAAAGCTGACTGCACGACAGCGAGGGGAGCTGGCCGAATGGATTGCGAGCGTCAAGGTCGTTACAACAGATACCAGCCTGCGGGTTACTTCTGGGGTGTTTGAGGTCACAGGCGCGAAAGCGACGAGTGCGAGAGTAGGTTTGGATCGGTTTTGGAGAGACGTTAGGACGCATACGCTGCATGATCCTGTGGCGTATAAGAATCGAGAGTTGGGGAGGTTCGAGTTGTTGGATGAGATCCCGGAGGCTACTTGGTACACTTGATTATACGTCCCACCTTTACCAGTACGTCTCTTCCAGCCCTTACTCGCATTCGTGCCGTGCGCAGCGCTCCGGTTGTATTTTGGATAGCACTTGGAATCGAAATAAAGGGGAAGATCAAATATGAATTCCTCTTCTACTATATGCTCGCGCGTATGTTCAGTAGAAACAGAAGGCCCTAGGCTCAAAGTCGTCATCCCCAGTGCCAAAGGTCTTTCTCGTTCATCATGACCTGATACCGACGCCAAAAATGACTCTTCTCTGGTTCCTGCCTAATGGCGCACAACGGATCATCGCGTAATTGCTGGAGGAACTGGTGTGTGACGTGCTTGCGCTGTCCACTTTCCTCTTCACCCCATTCAGCGCGCATCTCGATCAGTCTCTCTTTTTGTATCTCTCGCATGCGATTTAAACGTTCGTTATGTTGTACAAACGCTTTCTGAAGCGTCTCGCATGGAGGCGGGGATAATGTAGCTTTATCATGTAGTTCGTCGTTGGTTGATACGTAGTGCAATGTCCATTGGCCCGGTTCCTCGAATTGCAGACCACATCCAGTCACTGGACATATACAAGGGGCTTTAAGAGTGTGCAGATAGTATGCTTCCGTTGCCTGTATAAGGAGAAGTTTTCGCGCGTGATACACGTAGTCGTAGGGCTCAGTCTCGTCGTGCATCCAACGCCACCATTTACCCGCGGGTCCAGCCCGTTCCTGAAATGGTGGAACTACGAGACGCGGTGTATCCAAGGGCTCGATCAGCTCCCAAGCTACTGGCTTATCAACAGACTTGATCGCCTGCCAACGCTTCCTCGACCTGGGACGCTTCTGACCATTGTGGTTAACATTAAAGTTCGACGCGCGCACATGAATCCCATTTGGACATGCTTCTGCCAGCTGCGTGAGAAATCCGGGAGGCTCTGTGCCGGGTTCGAGAATATAGTTTGTATGAAGCACGACGCTCACGACATGGGGACACCACTCGCGCAGCACCTGCCAGAATGCAGCTATCTGGTACTCTGCGTAGAGTCTCGCTTCCTCCTCATCTGAGAACTTGATATGATGCGTTATGAGATCCACCCAGTCATCGTAAAGAGTCTTGTTCGCACCCGAAAGCTCGATGAGGACGTATTGCATGTGCTTGTGAGCCTCGAGAGCGGCATGTGTAAGGCCCGTATATCCGCCAGAAAGTAACCAAGAGCCGCGTATGCGATACTCGACGGCAGGATCAGACCAGAAAGTTTTGGCGGCTTCTTCGCCCGTGGCAGGTGATGCGCGCATAAGCTGGAAGAGCGTTGCGTTGTCGCAGAACGATATGATGTGGTGCTGAAGCTCCAATGGCAGGCGTGGAAAGTGTCTGAAACCGTCGAGCAAGGAAGACTTTATTCTTTCTCCTGGACGAACATGGTGTCGGAAAGGTACGCGTATCTCGCCCTGGGGTGTCGCGCATAGGTCCCAATTTAAGGACGTGGTCCACGGGCCCTTGGGTACAATAGTGGGTCGGGTTCTTCTAGTGGGCATGCTGAGTAGATAGATTCGGAGAGCAGTCTGGATTAACGTGATTTGCTTTTCTTCGTTGATAATGTGTAATAGTGGCGGTATCTCGCGATGGCGTTTTTGTTATGATGGACTGTTGCCTACACTAACCCGTCTGCAAGCGTTTTAGTGTCTGGACACTAGTGCACTGCCACCGCCCAGGTCCGCCCAGGTGGGCCCGAATGTTTGCCCGCTCATCTAATAGGACGGCGATAGTCTAATTGAGCGACAGTTTCAAGAGCACAGAGAAGTTGAAGAAGAGTTTTGGTGGTCTCGCCGAGCATATGCAGGAAATACATCCTGTACCGCAACAGCCTCGGAAACTCTGCCGTGTCCATTACGACAGGTCATTTACTTATCTCGAGTTCTATCATGACGGAGCCCAAGAGAGCGAGAGAGACGTTTAGAGTACCAAGACCGCTGCTACAACCTTCCTCTCCTCCTCCTCGAAACCCCCTCCCCTCCCACTCCCCCACCTAGTCACGCCCCCTTCCCACCCACCAAATTCCTCCTCAGCGCCTCCAACTCCTTATCCCCAAGCCCACAATACTCCCTCATATACCGTTCCGCGCCGCCAAACCGCAAATCCAACATATCCAAACTCGCCAGCATACTCTCCTTCCTCGACCCCACCATGCGCAACGCAGCCTGCCTGCCCTTTTCCAAGACTTCCGGCGGAAACTCCGACGTATCAGAACCCTCGCTATCCCTTCCTTGGATGATCTGTGCCATCTCCTCCTTCGATAGAGGTCTTCCGGTTGATTGCGCAAGCATATACTTCCTGAAGCCGGGACTCGTCAACAACCGCTCCACAATCTCGTCCCGTGCAGGACGGAGGCCCAGTTCAGTGAGTTGGTACTCCTCGGCGATCTGCTCGCGCGGGACACCGAGGAAATCGAAGAGGAGACCGAAGAAGATTCCCGTTCGGTCTTTGCCGGCTGTGCAGTGGATTAGTGCACCGAGTTTCTCGCCTTCTTTTCCTTCCTCGTTGCTATTGTCATCATCGGGTGCTGGCAGACTGGCCAGATACCGCAAAATCCTCCCATAAGCCCCCCCTCCATCCGTCAAAATACTAGCATAAGCCTCCACAAACCCCTTGACATCCTCATCCATGTAATTCGCATACCGCTCCGCCTGCAGAGGTAGAGGTACGAAGGTCAGTATTTATCTCACATGCACTTCGTACAGTAGTCAGAACTTACCAATCTCTCAGGACTATAATCCCTCTCTTCAAAAACAGGCACCCAACTTCTCTTCACACCCGCCTCCTCCATAGCCTGAATCCATCCCGGCCTAAAATCAGGCTTCCCTTCTTTACCGTTTTTACCGTTTGGATCATCTCCAACAATACCAGCCCACCCCTTTTCTACTTCGGGTAAGCTGCGCAGGTCGAAGACGTGGGCTACGCCGATGTCGCGGACGGCGGTCCAGCCGGCGGTGTCTAACTTGGCGACTTCGGCGCTGCGGAAGAGGATGCCTGGGCGGAGGGTGGCGCCGGATACGGTGGTGAGGGAGTAAGTGGCGAGGCGCAGGTTGTTGATGTTGGGGATGTGGGTGTAGAAGGGTGGGGTGGGGAGGGTGGGGATGTCTGGGGGTGGCATGGTGGTGTGGGAGTGATGTAGCGGTGATACGGCAGTAATGTGTATGTGTATGTAGCCGATTTAATGATGGGATTCCGCTGTTACCAAAGTGGACTTCGTCGAGGTTATGTAGAGGTCGACGGATTATTCGGTGTGAACAGCTGGTACTGTGAACGGTTTTAGTCGAAGGATTTGAAGTGCGATATGTCAACGGCACAGCTGCTAATGCAAGGGGGAGCCTTCACAACACGTGTTCGGTTTGACTTTTGGTTGGTACCTGGGTAGTCGGAACAACGTTCGTGGTGTGTAAACATTAGCCCCACCATCCCACTCACACTAGCCATGTGCCGAGGTGTAGAGTGGGAAGACTGCACATGCCCTGGTGTTAACCACGCCGCGTAATCAAGCATCATCCGGACTTCACGCCTTGCCATCCAACATGTTCAAGAAAACAATCTAACTTCGATTTCTGGGGTATACATATGATCATCAACCGCAAGACGGAACCACACATCTCACCAAGCCAAATGGTGGTATATTCCCTCGAAACCTATACACCCGTTTCCACAAAAGATGGAAACCGAAACGAATAAAACCCAGGACTATATATGTAGTCTATGACGCCACAGACGCCCGCGAGACTTTTCGTAACGCACGGAAAATATCATCAACAACCGTTGTGGTCGTGACCACAAAAAGCCTACGAAGGCTTATCACAACCAATGCGACCGAGTAGCTCCTTGCGATCGCCATGGCCGGGAATACTAATCCCACTTGCGCGCGAGCTTTCCCTCTTTGCTTGTCGGCGCTGGCTGGCGCCGTTGAGACGCGCAAAGGTGAGGGCATCGACGCCGACTTCCTCTTCCTTGGGCGTCATGGAGCTCATTCCGCTCTCGCCGCAGGTGGTTGCCATGTTAAAGATGGTCTTGGTCTGTTCCTGCTCGACCTCCTCGTCCTCGCCCTCGTCATCTGAGCGCAGATCCTCGGCTGCGTTGCCCATGAGCACTTTGTAGACGATCTTTGCAATGGTGGCGAACCAGATGCAGCAGAAGACTTGGAGGGTGAGGAGGAGCGCGAGGAAGTAGTATCGGATTTGCGGGTTCCAGCAAATGGGTCCGTTGCGGTCGTTGTACGCCTTGAGTAGGTTGCCCCAGTGGTTGTTACCGCCGTATGCTTCGAATTGTGAGGTGTTGGATGCGGGGACGAAGGAGGTGTACTTCGAGGTGGAGTCGGCGAGGTAGCAGCCGGGTGCCATGTCGACGGGGGCGTAGGCGTAGATAGACCAGCAGACCATCATGTAGAGAATGTGACGCGTAACGACCCAGGCGATGACGAAGAGACCGAACGCGTAGTCGCAGGCATTCGAGTAGCCCATATACTTGAGGAGTTTCGCAGTCTGTGATAGTCAGTTCCTAGATACTCATCTGGTGAGTCAAGACTGCTTACCGGCAGGATGATGTCGACAAAGTCCATGATGGTCAGAATGACGATACCGACGCGCATGTGGAAGTAGCCGTAGGACAAGCACATCAGCGCGGTGGTGAAGATGTGGTGGGTGAACATCTGCGCGTAGTCCTTGCGCTTCTCCTCAATGTTGACGACAAGAAGCTGCTGGACCCAGAAACCCCATTGGACAAGGTAGTACCACTTGAAAAGGCCGTCAGCCTCACGGAAAGGCCAGCCTTCCCAGATGCCGTGCAAGTCTAGCCAGAACTCGGAGTGGTACATGATGTACTGTAGCCTTGTTAGCACTGCCATTCCGTATGTTCTGTGTTGCGTGACGTACCATTCCCAAGGACCACGACGCGGTGTAGTAAACAATCAACCAGGCCTGCTCCTTGAACCTGTCCAGGCCCTTCTTTGTCCTGATGCCGCCCAGCCTTGCCAGCGGGTCGAGCAAGTATTCCATGACTGCGACGCGTACACCAGTGAAGATGACGGTCCACAGTAGGACAAAGGGCAGATCGTCGGTGCCACAGCCGTACATGTTGGTGTCGGGGTTGTAGTACGACATGTGGAAGAACTTGTTGGTCCGGCTTCGGGCGCGGGGAAAGAATGTGTGGGTGAGGACGAGGAGGGTGAGGAGATTGACGGAGATGCCTGTGGGAGTCAGTCTTGGTGGTGCTCAGTTTGTTGAGAGTCTGCGAGAGCATACCAATCTGGTGGTCGCAGATGAGGGTGCACAGCGAGGCCATGAGCCCCTCATCCTCGACCTTCTTTGCCTGCATCTTCCGCCTCTTGGGCGCAGTCGGTGGCTTTTGCGCTTGCATGTCCGCCGTGTGCATCTTTCCCAGCGCGCCGTTGGCGTTGTGTGTCGTCGCCATGGTGGCTGGTTGCAATATGCCCCAATGTGGGGAGCGAGAGAGTGATGGAGCGACGCTGTCGCGATACCCGCTGTCTCGAGGCGGTCCGATAGAGGAGCCAATGGCAGAGGAATGAATTCCAGAGAGTGCTTGCAGCCCGGCGACGGTTTCCGGTGTCGGTTGCCGGCGTGTAGTGCGGCGTGTGGGCTCGATGGGGGTCGTTGGTTGTCGCTCAACAGTCACGTCTTAGCGAACGGATTGGGGTGCGTGTCTCAGCAACCAACAGCCATTGAGCAGCGAAACGGGCGAAAGAATGGGCGCGGTAGGCTGTCGATGCGTAGGCGAGGTTTCGGCGGGGGAGAGCACGATGCGCCCGGGCAGAGCAGAGTCGAGGGAGCGGTGTGGTGGTCCCAAGCAAAGATATTCAGGGTTTAGAGATGGATGGGGCAAGCGCGGATCAACAATCTCCTGAGCGGGCCACGCGAATTGCACCTTTGCCTGCGTGCCAGCTGCGAGTCTGGGTGAAGGATGGCACAGGCGTGTCCAATTGCTCTCCCTGTATTTCTGGACAGGTGTCGCGGGAGCTAGCAGTATTCGCTGTAGCAAGACAAGTGTCTGGAGCGCGCTACGAATCTGCCCACTTCAAAAATGGGGCCTCGCCTAACCCGACTGCAGCATGCGCCTAGGGGTGTAACGCGAACAAAGGCAGGCAGTGTTGCATCGAGCGTAAGGAGGTGGCAAGCCTGCGTGGAAGTTCAGTCTCGTCCTCGTCTGCCCCTAAGACGGCCCTGCACCCGTTATCGTCGAGTTCCTGCGAGGGTCGGTTTGCCAAGACATCCGCCGACGAAGCTTGGTGCTCCGAAAATCAAGGGTCCGGGCGTTTCACCCTCCCGACCTATCAACGCGCCCACGCTCCCTGCAGCCCCATAGTGCTACCCCGCCATAGCCTGACCTGATATGCATGCATAGCTATTGGATACGGCATGCAATAGAATGGTCGCCTCTATTCCATCATGAGACGGAAAAATTGTCTTCAGCATACAAACACCGATTCTCTGGTAATTGCTTGGGGTACGAGGAGAAGTGTGAAAGTGGTATTATACAACTAAAGCTAAGTAACATAGAGTACGATAATCCACACCCAGCTCCTTGGCCCACACGTCCCAGCATAGTGATATCGATACCCATAACGCCGTACAATTTCTCCCAAGTGAATCTAAGCTCTTGCTACACTCCCCCCCGCCTAGTTGTTGTTCTGCGAGTTGAGGATCCTCAGGATGGCGAGGAACAGGTTGATGATGTCGAGGTAGAGCGAGATGGACGCCGCAATCTCCTCCTCGACATGGTAGTGGCGCATGATCATCTGTGTGTCCACCAGAATGTAGCCAGAGAAGATGAGCGCGCACACGACGCCGTATCCTAGCTCGACCGAGCTGCTGTGGGGGAAGAACATGGACATGAAGCCGAACAGGACCACCACCCATAGCGCGCCGAAAAGGTACGGTGCCCAGTGCGTGAAGTCGTACTTGCTCTGGCAAGCGAACAGGCTCAGCGCAATGAATATGCCCAGTGTGAAGAAGAGCGCCTGCAGCACAATCCTGGAGTCGGTGAAGGAGACGATGACGGAGATGGAGTATGCTTCCATGGCGGTGAAGCCGGCAAGGAACAAGAGGTTGGTCGGGTACGACTTGCGCTTCCAGAAGGTGAGGCCGAGAAAGACGAAGGAGCCGATGAGCGACACCCACATGAGCGCGGGCGTTTGTTGGATGAAGTTCTTGTACGATTCCGACATCATCGAGAGGGCGCTGACGGCGGCGGTTGCGAGGAGTTGGACGGTCCTGCAGAGAGTCAGTATGCGCGACATTCGCCTTGAGCCATGGGCACTTACAAGATGGCGTAGACCTTGCGGATAAAGGCCATCCGGATATCCAGCGTCGCCTCTGCCACAACACCGCCAAACTTGAAATCATCGGGCAGGTTGTCGTTTTCGCCGCGGGGGACGCCGCTGAGGAGGGCTTCTTGGGGGTCGTTGGCCGCCTGGTAGCTGGGTGGCGCCTGCGAATAGGACGGCGCGGGTGCCGCCTCGTCGAGCGAGTCGCGCTGAGGCACATTCTGATATTTGGGTGCACCCATCGTGATGGATTTGTCGCAAAGGTTGGCTGCGTGCGATGCGAAAGCGGGGGTTTAGATGCGCGTTGGTGGAGGTGGAAGGATGAAGGTTAGGTGAAATGCGTTAGGGCTGTGCTGACTTGATGAGGTCACAGCCGCGGAACTTCGTTTCACGTGCCCGTGTCACGATCAACTCGCAACTTCCAGCTTCTTCCACCCCGCCCGACAACCTCGAACCACCGTGAATGTCTCGCACTCACAATGATGAACCTTGGCGACGATGCACCTAGCCCCGTGGAGTAAGGCACACTGATCCGTTGTTTTTCCAGATGTCTATCCGCATAGCCTCAGCCGCACCTGGCTCAGATGCATGCTGCAAAACCACTACCAATGAGATGATCTCAATACGGTCGGGCAACCACACTGGGGGCCATTTCCGAGACCGCCACCACTATTGAGGCGTCAGCCTCGTCGCGGTGCAGCAATTCCATAATACGCATGCCCGCCCCACGCAAGGCCCTCAGTCCTGTCAGCCTACTTGATATTGTCAGATCATTTGAAAGTCCGCCCAAGTGCAAATGGCTAGTGACTCCCGAAATTCTTCGCAGGTACCTCTGCTGCCGCCTTTGGCTGTAGACGATGAGCGCTTCAGCGACACTCTGCCGTCTTCCATGCTGCAGCACCGCGTCCGTACAGAGTCACCTCCGCCACTCGAATCCAGGGAAAGCGAGTCTGTTGATTTAAAGCATGTTGGCATGTCATACTTCAAGTACGAGTCTGCTCGCAATACTATACTGTCGATGCTGATGGTCTATCAGCGGCGCTTTCAACACTGGTATCACTGTTCACAGTGGCGGCAATATTACCATTGATGGCGAAACTCCGAAGCCTAGGTCGCTCCTTTCACTGCCACGATGGTTGAAGAAGCTTCCAGGCACTCTAGATGCCAGGCTGACACGGTGGATTCGGGGCAGTCGCTTCCATGGGTGGCGGATGGGTGTCTTGCTTGGATGCTGCATGTCTTCCTTCGTCCTCTGCTGCAATATTGCCATGATCGTCGTCGCAGCCACCAGTAAAACTGGCGACAATGTCGGAGGGATAGCTAACCTGAAGATTGGTGATGAAGCTGTCATCTCGCAATGGAATACCGCATTGCACGTGCTGATCAACGCACTCAGCACGATGTTGCTCGCTGGCTCGAACTACACTATGCAGGTTCTGAGTTCACCAACCAGGCAAGATGTTGATGCCGCGCATGCTCGTGGACAGTGGCTCGATATCGGCGTTCTCAGTCCTCGCAATCTCAGGCTGATCCCTCGGAAACGTGCTGCGCTTTGGTACACGTTAGCGCTATCCTCCGTACCTCTACATTTATTGTATGCAACGCTCACCCAAGAAATGATGCATGGACTGACGCACTCCAGTTACAATGCTTCGATCTTCAAAGTCGTCACGTCAAGCGAATATCAAATATTTACTGTAGACGTCGCGTCAGACGAATGGAATCGTATCAATTCCACTACTGACGTGGGAAAATCGACCAACGGCTCATACTCGAATCTCGGCGGCGGAAAATGGACAACCGTGTACGACAACGAGTATATATCGGTACATGGCGATCTGTATCTTGCGATAGACCGGGTAGCCTTTGATACCACACAAGCTGCCATAAATCCAGAGGCGATCAACATCACATCAACATACCTGGACTACAACGTCACTGGAAATCAAAGAACCTTACGGGATCTCACGTCGGAGTCGGCATCATGGATAAGGTTTCGATCTCAGCCAGATCCCACGATACAGTGGATGAGCATTTCAGCTCATGTAGTGGAAGCCGCAGCGGAGAAGAGGAAGAGCCCACCCAGCAGAGTTCAAATCAGCTTGTACTTCTTGATCATCGTCGCGGTCTTCAATCTACTCAAGCTCAGCGTCATGGCCTATGTTCTCATTACCGACCGTTCGGCATACCTAGTCACATTGGGAGACGCCGCAGCCTCATTCCTAGAGCATCCCGATCCACATACTACGGGGATATGTGCGCTCGGTCGAGAAGAGCTCCTCATCACCCTGGGCCATCCGTCTAAGCGACCATTTTCCACCCCCGAAGAAAAATCAGACCTGGATTTGCGCGTAAAGGGTACATGGCTATCAAGGTCACAGTCATACTTCGCTCCTGTCCATCGCTCAGCGAAGGTGCTATATAGCTTCTTGTACGTAACACCCTTCCATCTTGGATTCAGTACTAATCCGTCAGACTGCTTTTCGTCGTCATCACACTGGCATTAGGCCCACTATACACATCAAGTGGCCACTGGGGCTGGGGAATCGGATCAGACGACAACGTCCCCTTTGGATCTGATGGGACCACAGCTACCGCTACCCTGTGGAATGCCTGGCTTGCCAACGTGCCACAACTGATACTATCCTTCTTTTACCTTTCGGTCAACATGATATGTACCGCCATGTCCGGAGCCAACGAATGGAACCATCTAGCAAAGTCCAAAAAGGGTTTGAGAGTCACCAAACCTTTCGGCGATCAGCGAAGCACTTACTTCCTACAACTACCCTACAGATGGAGCCTTCCACTCATCATCACCAGTGGAACGCTGCATTGGCTGTTATCGCAAACCTTCTTTCTTGTGCGTGCTGACTTCTTTGATCGCTACGGGGTGATGCTCAAAGGCGCCACGAAGTCCGCATGTGGATTCTCGGCACTCAGTCTATATGTATTGCTATTTGCTGCACTCTCACTACTTGGCGTCGTATTCTTTATCGGAGTCAAGAGAATGTCGGTAAAGGTGCCGACCGCGGGATCTTGCAGCCTTGTCATAAGCGCCGCCTGCCACCCATCGCCTACGGAAGTCGACGTCCACTTGGGTAAAGTTCAGTGGGGTGTTGCTCAGTACCAGCAGATACAGGGGTTTCCACACTGCTCGCTTTCATCTGGATTTGTAATGGAACCGGAAGAGCGGACTATCTATCTCTGAATACAACTGTATCTTGGTCACTAGCATACGATATCATTTCAATAAGCACGAGCTGTGCGATAGCCATCATGATGGCTGGCATCTCGGTCATAATCTCGATGACAATATTGCCGTTTATGTGCCATATGGGTATTCTAACCTTTGTGTTAAGATGCAGAGTCTCGGCGGGAAGCCGTCATAGATGTTGATGACCTTAGTCGACAAAAGCAGTCCGGACTCGTCCAGGAGATATATTCCACTGGAAGGGACCTTTTCATCGACGTACAATGCGAACCGGAGAAGCCAGAAAGAGGTGTACATCTGTCACGCATTCGGGAGAGACATATTTCTCTCTCCAATCGCTAGCATGTCGCAAGTGTTGGGGGATTATCGCGCCGTGGACAAGAACCGTGGTCGTATCGTCGGTGCGAGGTAGTGTGTTGGGCGTCGTACGAACGAGCTGCTGTTGCAATAGTTCCAGATCCGCCTGCATTGGGTGCGCAGCCATAAAAAGGCCTGTCGTCATATTGAGATGTTTAAGGCGAGTGCATGGTTAGTTGTCGTCGTTGAAGGGTGTTGGTACGCGTCGCGGGGGAGGACTGCTTGGCTCGCGTATGAGATTCACTGCCTAGATCGCTCATTGGACACCTTACCACTATTCCGCACATGTCACTTGAACGTGTGACGTCTGACAGCTGGGATAGCCGTTGCGTATGGATATAGTATGTATCGGTTGTAGTTGTAATCAGCTCGTCGCTGATGGGTCATCGCTCACGAACCATGACGTATTCACCACGCTAGCCAGAACCGCAGTTTCCAATTCCCCAGACACGCGCCCGCACCCCGCAAAGACGTCATCCTTCCATGCAACTCTGATGAAACGCGTTCTCATGCAGTCCACAGCGCACGTACTGCTTTTTCCATCTCCTTCTGTCGACGCTCAACCCACGGAGATGGCTCCGACGAATCGATGACGCATCATCTCGCGCGCATTGACGATAACCTTGGAACCTGATGTTGGCCTAGCACCAAATGTCTAAATATCGTGGAGGATGGAAACAAACTACCAATCATTCCTCCACACACAATACACTTAGTTTCTATACATCTATGTGATTCAATATGCCGCTACTTCGCTTTACAAAGCCGCGAGTCGCCTCTGCTACAGGTACTACTATACAGGGCTCGAAATGTTCTCGTAGCGCTAGGCCTCATCCACTGCGGAATGGCGCCCAGAGCAGGCAGTATGCCAGCGAGCCCATCATTCCCAAGGTGCAGAATAGCGATTTCACATTGTAGGTTCAACGTCGTTGTAACAGTCCCCCGGAGCTCCAGATAACGTGTATCCTTTAGTAAGTTCGCAGGTGTAGCCATGGCCTTCACCGGCGGTCTTTATTTCGCTATAAATTCAGATCTGCGTCCCTCGTCAAAGCAGAACCTTGCGGCCAATCTTCAGCCGCATCCCACCATGCCAGGCAAGATGGCTGGCGAGAACGAGGAAAACATGCGCAGCCACAAGATCACTATGAAAGGCGATCCCAGCGCACCTGGTGCTGGCAGGCCGGACCCAAATGAAGAGTTGGGTCCGAAAGCTATGGGTCACGGGGCTGCACCTTCACATGTAGCCGACCCGGTTCGTACAAGATGTAACACTTTTTTCCACTTCTTGATTGCTAAGTAACACCACAGGCCGATCCCCGCGGAAAACCCAGGAGCTTCAACTACATGTCTGGAAAGCAAGAGGGTTTGTCTAATGGTGACACTCACCACAGCTCCCAGATTTCCAAGCAGGGCGAGATGAGTAAGAAGGGTGAGGGTGTTGCTGAGACTGCGAAGCTCAAAGGTACGGTGTCGACCAAGCGACCTGGTCCTGAGAATAAGGAACAGCGAGGCAAGGCTCAAATGGATGATGAGTAGCAAGTTGAGTTGATCATTGCCCTTGGTATCATTTGATGGGGGGAGGAAATGTAGTAAAGAGAGTAGCAAACTGTAGTCAGATAAACAGGCACTCCAATACCGTACGAGCAAAGACATCTCACTAGCCCGTATGACTATCGCGCATTGTCAGATTACGTGTCGATTGTAAGCCTTAGCTTCAATGCAACTCAACCAAGGTCCGCACTATTAGAGCAACCATGTTATTAGTTTTAGACTCCTACTCGTACAAGCCGTGCCATGCCAACGCACACTGGTCAGCAGTTTGACTTATCCCTATCCCCAAGTAACACCATAGACCATAGCAGATAGCCACCCAAGTGATTTTCAACTTTTTGCAAGGAAACGAGCTTTTGACCTCCTACCAGAGGAGGAGCGGGAAGAGCTTTTAACCATCGTCGCCAGATTGAGGAAAGAAAGGAAAGGAAAGGAAATATGGTACGCCGTGATTGCCATCGTGAGGTATCGTACAGGACATGAAGAAGTCGGAAGAGGTAGGTGCAACGCCGTGCAAATTATCCGAAAGAAAAGGGAGATGTGGAATGAGGGGTTCAACCGGACGTGTCGTTCTTCAGGACGGCAGCGGGAGGAGCCTGGAGGGCGTCGGGTGATGGCGCTGTTGTCATCGAAGTGAATATGGGCGTCAACGTGGTTTTCGATGTCGATGCGGGTGTCGCAGTGGCCTCGGTGGCATCGATGCGTTCCTCTTGGGTCGTGGATGGTTTCTCGACCGCCTTCTCAGCTGTACCAGCATCATACTCTCCACCTCCAATGGTCGTCTTCTTCTCGCACCCCGTCTCAACATCAACAAACGTCTCCTCACTCCCACACCTCGGCAACTTCTTGCCGCTGTTCTCAGCAACGTATTCGTCGTACGTCTTGCCCGCCTTCTTAGCTTCCTTGCGCACATGTCTGACACGCCATAGCCAGACCGCTTGGCTAGCAAAGATGCCAGTCTCGAGGACCATGCAGGCGATGTATAGACTAGCGCCGAGAGCATCGAACCATTGCTGCGCGACGACGGCCATGAGCGAGAAGAAGGCGCCGAGGTAGTCGATGGTGAGGAACCAGAAGTCAATGCCAATGACGCGGCCGTTGCGCTTGGCGAGCTCGAAGTAAGGCGGGATTAGGCCGATGACTTGGATGACGGAGGCGGAGATGGCCATTAGCATCATGGGCCATTCGACACCGCGGCTGTATGGACCCTGTACGGTATTTCGTTAGTAGCTTTCTACAAGATGGTGATTTGTAGCGTGTGGTTGACTTACGCGCAGTGTAAGAATGAGGATGAGTTCCATGATACCGAAGCTAGCTGCAAGAGCGATGGTCGCGAGAGTAGCTGTCCAGACCCGCCATTTGTTGTGGTAGTAGAGTGTTTGGCCCCATGCGATGAGGGTGAGACTGGCGAAAGCTTGAGGTTGGAATTGGAGGGCGAAGTTGAAGTTCTAATCACACGTAAATAAAAGGTAAGACGGAGTGCGCGGTGGGTGTTAGCATACCTGAACAATCGCGTATACACCAAACGGTACGCCGCCTGCATCCTGTGGTTAGCTGAGTCGACCAGGTTCGTTCATGTGGGGTGTCGCACAAATTGACCAGAGTATCAGCATGGTGCCTGGGAGGCCTTCAGTGCTCTTTCGCCGCCAGTTGGTCCATATTCTTCGGCAAAGTCAGCAACCCGTCATTTGCGATGCTGATATGTGTGACACTTACTGTGGGATGATTTGGATACACCAGCAGCTGCATTCGGACCTTTGTTAGCAAGTGCTTCGTGGGGTCAAGGGCTTGACGTGGGGTTGCATACACTTTACTCAAGTTAGCATAGTCATTAGCCACGAAACGTTCGGAGGTACTCACCAGTGCCGAGCGTCTAGAGAACGAGATCGCATGTCAGTATCATGACTCAAGTCAAAAACGTGGGTGGAGCAGAGAAACCTACACCAAGGATATTCGCAGCCTAGCGTTTGGGGTCAGTATGTTGGAGCTGTATGCGATATTGATGGTACTACTCACGGGTGGTATCGAAACTTGCGGTCTGTCCATGGCTTTGGAAGAGTACTCTCACTACGTCTTGGATGATAAGAAGTGGTGAAGAGGTGTAAAGCTCAGTGCGTGGGAAGATGGATGATGGTGAAAAGAGAGGCCCAGGTGAGACAAGATGTACGATTAAGAAGCCAACTAAAAGGAAGTGTAGAGATGTGAGTTTACGTGATCTGGTGGCGTTTCACGTCGCACCAGGTGTAGTATGTACTATCGCTCTGGTACCTGGTTCGAGTAAAGGAGGAAGAAGTAGTTAAACGACTTCACCAATGGTAGGATGAGGAAGCGGGAGGGTTGTACAAAAGAAAGTTTCCAACTAATGACAGAGCAGTCGGTTACGCCAGCACCGGCACCCAGGTGAAGGCGAAAGTGGTACCCGCTCACACCAGGCAACATGTTGTGCGTGATGACGGAACTGTCAGAGGGTCCCATTTTACTAGCTCTACCGCCGCAGTCGCGTGCAAGAATAAGTCGGCTGGTCATACCATTGCACAATGGCCTTGGATAGAACGATTTAGACTAGGCAGCTAGTGAGATTTCAGCTTTCGGGGAAGTCATGCCCCTGCTCCCGGCGCTGAAGAGCGACTCCGTTCAGACTCGGTAAGAGGTGAGTGGCTGAGCTAGCGTATACAGGGATACTTTTCCTTCCCCAGCCGATCTGCAATCCGATTGGCGAGTCTAGACTTTTCGCTGAACGCATCTATCCTCATATGAGGAAATGGGTCCACTCCATCTCGATGCAGACGTTGAAGGGGGTGGGTGACGAAAGCCCCGGTATTGCATGCATACAAGGCTCGGTCGGATGCTGGGTCCCTGCATTGAGCGACGAAGAAAGAACATGGTGGCCACTTGGTAAACCCAATCGCTCACAGCCGGGACAGTTCTGTAGACTACGGAGTAATGCACATCGAAGAGGGTAAAGTTAATCTGCATCCAATGAATAACCTTGTAGATGTATTTCCGGATGTGGTCGTGCGTAGACTACCGCCGCGCTCCAAGCGGCTCACGCGAACATCAATCCTGACTGGCCTCAAGGACAGTCCGTCAATCTTCGTTTTGATGAGGTGACTTCGATCCTCCGGTGAGCTCGGCGAGCGCGTGCCCGGCTACTGTGCATTACTGCACACTGACGGACGTTCCTGAAAACTCTGAAGGTGGGTAGCTGACGTGCGGTTGGCGGCTGTGTTGAGACCTGCATCACCTGGCATTCCCGAACCACGCCGGTGGGACCCCGCCTGCATAAGATGGCGTCAACCGGATTTATGATTCGATCCTGTATACAGTACAACTGGATTCAGCTAGTAGGAGGCTCTGCTTTCCCCATCCGAGCGTGTGTCTAGTCCTCGGTTCCTGGCGCCTCGCAGCAGTCTGCAGTAGCTGATGATGAATAAGTGGTGGCCGACATGTAAGGTCAACTAGCCAGCTACTACACGCTCAACGCTGTTGCAGACGCGGCACAAA